TTACTTCTCTCTGAGTGTCTGTGCCCCTTGCAAATACCTTCTGGGAAATTTCCTGCTTTGATCTGGCGCAGTGACCAGCCCTAATCCCTGCAGCACACTTTGGAGATCAGAAGGACTCTGCCCTTTTTTGCCCTACCAGTAGTTGCTCCTTGCCCACAGTCCCTCTCCCTGCACGGTTGTGGCAGCTCCTTGGCCGGGCTGGGAGCTGCCCCTGGCAGGCAGCAGAGTCCCTGCCCCAGCACACACAGCCCTGGGGGGCAGGACCCTGCTCTGCCCCACATCCCTGGGCACCCCTGGCTGCACCCCCAACCTTCCCACCCCACAGCACAGGGAACCTTCTGGCCCTGGTCCTCTGATGGGGCAGCAGCAAGTCCTGCTCTGCAGCAGCTTTTCCTGCTGCCCCCTAGCAAATCCAGCAGAGCCATCCTGACAGCTCCTGCCAGGGCTGGCATTTGGCAGCTGAAAGAGCCACTTGCAGCAACATCCCTGCGCACTGCTGTGCAGCCACAGCCTTCCCGTGCCAAAGGGCTGCCAAGGTTCCTCCCGTGAGGAGCTCTGCCCTGTCCTCCCAGCCCAGGATCCCTTTCACCTCCTTCTCCCTTGTCCTGTCTGCCCTTGCTGCCTGCAGCTCCTGCCCTGCTCTGCCATAGGGCCACTTCCTCTGCCCTGCAGGGACTGGGAGAGTCCTTCTGAAAGATCCTACAAGCTGTGGGCTGTGGCAGCTTTAGGAGATCCCTGCAGGAAGGGTAGTTTAAGTTTCCTACAGCCAGAGAATTCTTTCTTCAAATTCTGCGAAGGTTTCTCCTGTAGTGAGAGCTCAGTCCCCTCCCAGCTCAGGCTGCCTCTCATCCCTCTGCCTTCTCTCCTGTGCCCTGGGTGCTGCAGGCAGTGTCCTCAGCCCTGCTGGGCTGTGCAGAGGAGCTGCTCACCAGAAGAGCTGTCTCTGTGAAGCTCTTCTTAGTTGCAGGAGCTCCCTGTTTTCCAGGAGCCCAGCGCAGCTCAGCAGCACAGCAACAGCCCCAGGCATTTCATCACCGTCGGGGATATTTGGGATGAGTCCCTGAATATCAGACCCTGAGGAGAGTAGCAGCAACCTCTTGAGAAACACAAGTTGGATTCAAACTGTAAAGTTTCTTGTCATGTTAATGGGTCCCTCTGAGGAACCCAACGGAGACATGATCCTCAGGACTGTGTAAGAGCACAAACTTGGAAACTTTGATGACAGGTCAGAGACTCACAAAATCACCAATGTTGGAAGATACCTTCAAGATCTTCTGGTCCAGCTGTCAACCAGCACCACCATAATAACCCCTAAATCATATCCCAAAGTGCCATATCCAGATGCCATCTGAACACTTCCAGAGACTCTATCATCTCCCTGGGCTTTTGTTCCAACATCCAAACACTCTCTCAGTGAGATAAGAATTTTGTAGTATCTAATCTGAACCTCACCCAAGGCAACTCAAAGCCATTTCCTCTCTTGCTCTCACTAAAGGCTTTGTAGAAGAGACTGACCCCCCCTTCCCCACTAAAACCTCCTTTCAGATCATTGTAGAGAGTGATGAGGTGCTCCCTGAGCCTCCTCTTCTGCAGACTAAAGAACCCCAGTTCCCTCAGCTGCTCCTCATCAGACATGTTTTCCTGGCCCTTCCCCAGCTCCGTTCCCTTCTCTGGACGTGCTGCAGCCCCTCCAAGGCCTTTTTGCACTCAGGGACCAGAATTGGACACAGCACTCGAGGTGGGACCTCCCCAGTGCCCAGCACAGAGGAGCAATCACTGCCCCAGTCCTGCTGGCCACCCTTTTCTCCATAAAGGCCAGGGTGCCCTTGGCCTTCTTGCCCCCCTGGGCACACTCTGGCTCATATCCAGTCACTCTCAAGCTGCACCTCCAAGTCCTTTCCTGCTGAGCGTCTCCCAAGCCCCTCTGCCCCCAAGCCTGGAGCGTTCCAGGGGGCTGTTGGGACCCAAGTGCAGGTCCTGACGCTTGGCCTGATTGATCCAGCCTGTCCAGATCCATCTGCAGAGCCTTCCTGCCCTGCAGCAGATCCACACTCACACCCCACTTCATGGTATCCACGAATTTCCTGAGGGGGCACGCGATCCCCTCATCCAGATCACCAATAATGATGTTAAGCAGGAGCAGCCCCAACCCTGAGCCCTTGGGAACCCCACTAGTGACCGGCCCCACCTGCATTTACTTCCATTCCCCACCACTCCCTTGGCCATCAGCCAGTTTTTCCCCCAGCAAACAGTTCCCTCATCCAGGCCATGAGCAGCCAGTTTGTGCGGGAGATGCTATGGGAGATGGGGTCAAAGGCTTTCCTGAAGTCAGGACAGACACATCCACAGCGTTTCCCTCAGCTACTGAGAGGGTCATTTGTCACAGAAGGAGACCAGGTTGGTCAGGCAGGACCTGCCTTTCCCAACCCCACGCTGGCTGGGCCTGCTCCCCTGGATGTCCTGCCCGTGCCATGGGATGGTGATGGGAGAAATAGGAACTTGACTCAGAGAATGTCCAAATATGGAATGTACTCTTAGAGAAGTCCTGGAGAATTAGATCAGGGATGGAACTCAAACGAACAGCATGTAAATAAGCTCTGTGTCCCCAGAGAAGGTGAAGAACAAAGGTAACAGTTTTTGGTGGTGGAACAGGATGACGATGGGCCTGCTCAAGAACTGAGGGCAAGGCAACAGAGGAAGCCTGGAAGGATCAAAGAAGGACCTCCGGGGGTTGACCCTTTGAAGCAAACTAATGAATATGTATTAAGCAAACCTGAACATCTAATGAATATGTAACCGGAGTGTGCAATAAGAAGCCCTGTCCATCTGTCATTTGGCACCTTCAGTTAGAGGAGCTTCCCTGCCAATGTCCAGTGCTGAATAAAGAACAATTCCTGCTTCTTAATACTTACAAATTGGGGTTCAGGTGTTTGTTTCTGCAGCTTTCTGGTATCAGGGCCATTGTGACACTTTGGAACCTCCTGGAATCCAAGGGCCATTGCCACAGTGCAAGGCCTGATGGAGCCAAAGGCCCTTGACCACTGAGGCAGCTCACAGAATCCAGGGGCCTTGCTGACACTCCAGGGCGTCACAGAACCAAAGGAGTCCCAGGAAGGTGCTGAACCTCATGGAATCAAGGGGTCATTGTGACAATGTGACACTGTGACCCTGCAGGGCT